GAGCTTCCCTAGGAGAATGTTCTCGAAGATAGTGTCAAAAGCCTTGCTGAAGTCTAGGTAGACAACATCCACGGCTCTCCCCTTATCTACCCAGCCAGTCATGCCATCGTAGAAAGCTATCAGATTGGTCAGGCATGATTTCCTCTTGGTGAATCCATGCTGACTACGCAACATCTCTCAGATTCAATTCCAGGTAGCCTTTGATGTTCCCAATTGCATTTCTGCATATTTGGACAGTGTCTCTATATTTCTCCCAGGTTACAGGTCTCTGCTTCTACCTCCTGTGCGTTTCCTGTTTATGTTTGAGTTTTGTCAGAAGCCCCTTGCTCATCCATGCACACCCCTGGAATTTTTGCCCAAATTCCTGCTCATTAGGATGGACCACTGTTGAGCATAGAGAAGGTGAATATCAACCAGCTTTCTGGCACCCCTCCTCCCTCCAGAGCCTTATACCTCAGGACTCTTCCAAGCGATCACTGAAGAGGCCAAAGTCTGCTCTCCTGAAAGCCAAGGTCGTGGTCCTGCTTTCTGTCTTGACACCTCCTCTTAAGATCCTGAACATCACCATCTCATGGTCACTACAGCCAAGGCTGTCTTCAATCTTCACATTCACAACAAGTCACAGAATCACAGAACATCTCAAGTTGGAAGAGACCCAATAAGGATTATCGAATCCAACTCCCTGCTCCTTGCATGACTACTTAAGACTAAACCACATGACTCAGAGCGTCATCCACATGCTCCTTGAACTCTGACAGGCTTGGTGCCACGACCAGTTCCCTGGGCAGCCTGTTCCAGTGACCAACCACCCTCTCAGTGAAGAGCCTTTTGCTAATGTCCAGTCTGGCCTTCCCCTGACGCAGCTTCATTCCATTTCCTTGTGTCTGTCACTGGTCACCAGGGAGAGGAGATCAGCACCTCCTCCCCACTGCACCCCTTGACAAAGCTGTAGTCTGCAATGAGGTCATCCTTCAGCCTTCTCCAAGCTGAACAAGCCAGTGATCTCAGACACTCCTTGGAAGTCTTGCCCTTGAGGCCTTTCACCATCTTGGTTACCATTCTCTGGACCCATTTAATAGTTTGATGTCCTTCGCATATTGAGGCACCCAAAACTACATAGAGCGCTCAAGATGGGGCTGCACCTGTGCAGTGTAGAGTGCAACAGTCACCTCCCTCGACCAGCTAGCTATGCTCTGCTTGATACACCCTTGGGCATGCTTGGCCTTTTTGGCTGCTAGGGCACACTGTTGACTCATGTTCAATTTGTCATCAACCCAAACCCCCAGACCTCTTTCCAGAGGGCTGCTCTCCATCCTATCCACCTCCACTTTGTATGCACAATAAGAAGCAGCTCATCCCAGGTGAAGAATCTTGACACTTGCTCGTGTTAGATGTGATACAGTTAGTCCTTCCTTGCTTGTCAGTATGAGGTTCAACTGACATCTTCAGTCAGGAAGACGTCACTGATGCTCTGCAGAAACTCTTGGATTGCTTATGCCTACTGCTCTCCTCCAGCCTTACTTAAGGTACAAGTCAGATGCCATCCCTAACTCATCTCACGGTCAAATCCAAACACTACATATAATGTCAAGGTGCCACTTTAAAATGAAGTTAGCTACTCTGTCAAGTGATACAGTGGGAAATTTGAATACATCTGTTGCTCTCTTCCTTCTCCTTCCTGACAGGAACAGTGACTTTCTGCAACTGTTTCACAGGCGAGTCATTTAGCCTAAACTGGCTCCAGCTGACATTACATCCATGCTAACTCACAAGAAAGACAGCTCTCTTGAAATAACACAATAAAAAATAATCACTTGTCAATTAAACTTCCTAAATAATCATAGCTGTTAGGTGTTCATAAAATAATGAATCATTTTAACAACTGCAGCTAGTGAGACTCGTGCTTTATTATTGACATTATAAACTCGTTCAGGAATATTAACTTTCACTCACGTCCACATGACCGTATAGCAACAAAAACACAGAACCTTGAACATGTATCTAAAAACACTTGTAATCTTAACATAATCATCCTTACAACCTGTTCCTTAGTGCAACACTTTTTCTTGAGTCACCCACATTGTCATTCTCCTACAAAGCACTGTAATTAAATGTAACAGCAATTAAAACGCATACACAGCACAGAATTATATTTCAAGCAAACATCCAACTATCCTCAATTTATTTTCTACAAAACTCTATACAGTGTACAGAACACTTGTTCTCATAGGTTATTTCCTTATTCAAAAAGATTTAATCTGTCTTCAAAATTGTCAAATAACCATAAATACATTACAAATACACAACAGAGATTCCGCAATAATCCTAATATCACAAGGGTCAACTTTGAATTATTGATGGTAGTTGTCAAAATTCAAAGCATGCATTTATAGCTTCGTTCCTGCTCTTTTTTTCTTGCTGTTCCATATAACACCAGCTTTATAACTTTGCCCAGTCTTCCAAACCCCTGAGAATCTGTCATCCTCTGATTTAAGAAAAGGAAACAGAACTACAAGATCTATGACCTCTCTAGCACAATGCCAGCAAAGTGCTGGATTCCACAATAACAATTTTATTTCTTAAATAATCTAAATAGTAAAAATTAATGCTTCATCATGCTTCAGATACAGATGTTTCAATGTTAAACTGAGCATCACCACGTGGGAAAAAAATGTAATTAGTAAACTTTTAAACTAAATAAGGGCTTGCAGCACAGCAGCATTTCTCACTAATTTTGACAGCCCAAGTATACATATACATCACACTTTCACTAAGTTCCTGCTGTTTTTCTACCCAGAATTGTGCCAGATATTTACCTTTCTGTATTAAATGCAACATCTATACCACACTGTTTCCTATAAAATGCATTTTGTAAAAAGTAAGCATTTGATTTTGTTTATCTCCCATAGGCTGTTTGACAAACTAGTCCTGCCATCTGCTTTGTGCTGTATGTTGCTCAAAACATTGGCTACTTGTATTCCTCTCCTTTCCCTGAATAATGACAAACCTGAAGTAAACCAAATGAAGACAGAAGAACAACCTCCAATTCCAAATAGAGTCAAAAAGACCCCTTCTTAGCACTCCACATCAAAAACACTTCTTGTGCAAGTACACCATCTGCTGGCCAAAAATTAACTTCCTAAAAAAATATTCTAAGAAAAAACATTTCATCAGTGGCATCCATAACTTTCTCACCAACAGTGTGGTACCAGGGTTTTTTCCTTCTTTTCCTCTAAACCCCACTGGGCTGTACACTGTGACATGGACATCACATTAATTACTCAGTCTTTTCCCACTCCTTCCTCAATGTCTATTTGTTTTGCTAACATTTCTCCTTTGCTGTTTAGTTTTAAATAATACCCATTTAATCATAGCCATTAAGTTTTTATTTTTGTTCTACCTATTACTGTTTTCTTCCCCACTCCCCACAACCTTCAGTGCCTTCTTTGTCTCCTCTTCCTATGCACCCAGCATCTGAGTTACGAATGCTGAATTCTGCTCTTCTCACTTCACCCTTTGCTTTTTTGATGACCCTTCCTCAGCCTCCTAATCTAATGAGAGTGCAATTCCAAGAGAAAGACTCTGATGTTCTCTTCGACCGGTCAGCATTTCAAAATCAGATATTCTCTTTTTTTCGGAAATGTTGCTCATGCAACAGTAACCTTATGATACTAAAGACCAAAGAAAACACAATCAAAATCAAGCGTACATTTGTAAAAAGGTACACCAGAAGGCATTATCTGCCAACATTAAAGAACCAAAAAAAATATCAGAGAAGAAAAAGGGCAAGGTTCTTGAAAGAAACACCACTTTCCTGTGCCCCATGTTGGTCTCCACAAAGCAACAGCCACCTAGAATGTCTCTTCACCAAAACACCTCCAATCAGAATCTTCAATTATTTTCTAAATCATTTTTATACAGTCATTTGGACACACAATAGAAATTGGACTTGCTGCTTTCTCTAAACAATAGACCACTGGACATCTAAGGCTATTTTTCAAATATCACATAACCTAGTGCAAAAATTGAATTGCCTTAAGCCATCTTGGCTGACTGTATTTATCTTTGGACAGAGTCTTCAAGTAATTTGTCTTCTGTGAAGAAATATGAAACATTAGCAGAGCCTCAGACCATCTGCCCTGGGGAAATTCTACTTTTTTTTTTTTTTATTTTTTGAATGATTGGAGAAGGCAGTTACATAGAACATGAAATAACTCAAGAACTCCACACGTGGTAGATTCTTTTGGACAAAAGTTTACTTTGTATTTTTAAAATCCTCCCATCTTTTTTGAAATGCTAAAATGTCTTCTGTTAGTCTCATTACTTAAATAATCCTTTCAAAAATCTACTTCCTATAGCTACTTATATAGCCTAACTGATATCAACAGATACTCTGTAATTCTTTGGATAATGAGAGCTGTGTTAAGAGTCCCTTTTTATCTGTGGAGATCTTGGCAAGCAACCAGCAAAATTCATTTCCTTAGGAAGTTTCTGTTTCATCTATTTTAACTCAGAGGTACACAGCAGTTGTAAGCACATTTCCAGGAAACCGCAGGCATTCCAAGCATGCATAAAGCACAGCTATCCATTTTCCTCAGTGAAAGAGAGAGAAGTATTTCATCTTTTAATTTTAAAATAGAAGTTATTTAAAATATCACTACATTTGCACAGAGGCACACAGATTACACGCACACTGAAACTTTAATAAAAAAATAAATAAAGGAAAAAAGGAATCTCAAAGTTCTGGACAGTTCAAAGTGAAGAAAGGGAAGTGTCTTATGATCAGGAAAAGCAGCAATATCCTACTGTCTCAGGACAGAACTGTCTGACTTGCAGATGTAGAGTTAATTTCAGCCTTGCTTGGAGTCTTTAAAATGAGTAACACATAGATTTCAAACGAAAGACATATTCTCAGTCACAAAGCAAGAACACATCCTCTAAGTATAGTACCCTTTAAAAGAGGGCTGGAAGATATAAACTTCATAAAAAGCTATGCATACTTCATCATAAATGCTCCCATTGATATCTGCTCCATAAATTGGTGCCACAAAAGTCAAGTTCTTCCAGTATTTACGCTCCAGATCTTCATAGTCTACGCATCTTGGGGTGCAGTATCTGCAAAGAGATAGGCAAAGGTTCAGCAGTCTTTCAACAACAGCCTTCACAATGGACTATGCTTCTGATTCCGCAGACCAAATGCTAAGAGATCACTTTATTCCAAATTCACTGAAATAGAAGAATTATTAGTTGTCCTGAATTCTTAGTTTCATGATGCACCATAGCATGTAACCTCCTACCTGACAGCTATAGTAACTGAAGCCATACATACCCACACAACATTTTCTTCAGTCTCCAGCAGCTAAACAGCACATCTACTGACTGTCCTCAGGCTGCGGCCCTTCCTTTTGTATCTCTCCCATAAAAAAAAAAAAACACCACACATGGAAAAGCCACTTCATTGACAAGTATTTGTTATTTGCCTGTATCTTTCCTGCCTTGCTACCAGCTCTGCATAAGACACAGAGGTAGGTCCCGCATAAGCCTGTCTCAGAGCAACTCAAATGTACTAGCTTTGCAAAGCAGCAGCCCTGCTAGGCAAAACCAGTACTTTCTTCTCTTCCTCCTTCCCCAGAAAAACCATTTGAGAAAAGGCATAATGTTTCGCACAGTTGATACCAAAAATTCTACCATGCAGTGAAAAAGGAATTTTTCTTTTACTCCTGTAGTGCAGCACAGGGCACTCTACTTCTATGTGCATAAATATACTTGGGTATATACTTCTGGAATGTTACTCAAAGCTCATGTAAAATCTTGTGGGAACACAATACAAGCACACTAGTATAAAGATCACCCATCAATAGCTTTTGCCTCAGGATCCTTTGTCAGGCCCGTGTTCTCTACTATTTTGGTTTTCAGCAAAGAAAACTTACTCTCCCATCACTCCAACTCAGAAGTAAAGTTTCACATTAGCATTGCCAACTTACTACATTTGAACTACTGGAAAGAAAATCCAAACATATAAGAATTAAGTAAACCAGGTACATTTACATCATGTGATAACACAGTACAGAGCCAAGCAAGTTAGCAAAACGCATGTTAACCAAAGCATTCTCAGCAATGGAGTTGTTTTCATTATTTCTCATTATATGGCTCCAGAAATCAGCTTGTATTTCTGTTTGGCACTGGGTAATATAGATACACAAACTCAGTTATCATAAGTATCTTGATTAGGGGATGCAGGTATGCTCATTAGTGAATTGTGAATGCCTTAACAAATAAAAGATGCAATGCATTAGACTGAGCACACACAATCCTTTTAAAAGCAACTATGATTTCATTTAGATGTTCATGGCCCTTCTCTCTTTCCCAGAGGAAATGGGTAACATCACAATACTCAAGAAAAGAGTCTATAACAGAGAAGTCTTCTTCATTAAGGAAGAAAATTATTTTTATGGGAGAATAGGGGCTCTCAGCTACTTAATAGTTTAAGAAATATAGACTGTATTGAGTGTCATAGGAGGTTACATGACACCTTTTTCAAGAGCAGTGATGAATATTTAGAAAGACCTACAGCTAGTAATAGACAGGGAGCCCTCCCAACTGTTCTTTACTTATGAAATGAAGTTGTAAACTGACTTCAGTAAAAACATGAAAACTGAAATCAGAAACACTTCCAAAATACCTTCCATGAGATAAAGAATGTAACAAACTTAACTAACATCATGATATGTATTAAAACCTCCAGAGTATTTTTGCATTATCAAGCTATTTCAAGAAATTAAGTGTTTCTCATTTTATCATGGGTTAACCAAAAGTAACCTTTGAACATACATGAATAGGTATCACAGAAAATGACATCAGATACCATGCAGGTTTTATAATTTATTCTCCCCTGTAACATTTACTAACAAATAATTTTAAGAATTACAACACATGTTCCCATTCCCACTTATCAGAAGAAGAAAACTGTGTGATCTCAATTTTTCACAAGTAATATAGGGGCAGAAACATACCGATCCTTTTTATTAAAAAAAGGAAATTAGTTTTGTGTTTTTACAAAGGTATGGATATTATGGAACATTTTCTGAGGAGCCTCTTTAAAAGCTTTCCATGTCCTATTTTTTCCTGATCTTGATAACAGCTTCTCTTCTTACCTCTTAATTTCTTAAATTAACTTCTTAGAGAAACTTTCCTTCAAACTAGGGCAGCGTTACCTTCCTTCGTTATATTCAAATATCTTTTCTCTCTAGGATCATTTGACTCACCTTCCAGACTTCTTTTTATGGGGCGAAAAGGAACGGGGAATAATTCCTTCTATTACCTCCCTCTTCTTGGAATGCCCACCAATTTGAAACTTTTAAGTATAGTGCCTAGCCCTTCATAGACTTTTTTCCCCTCCCTTAATATCCATCTGGCCATAATCAGAATACGGACATTCATTACATGTAGGTGAGTTTCCTAGATCAACGCAAAAACTTCTGGGCAAGTTAAAAAAGATGTTGGGTTCTTTTTCAGAATTAGATGGTGATAGGCCATTCCAGTATCTAGGCCAAAAAAAGGGAATTAAATACTAAATGTTAATAAGCGTACTTAAAATAAAGCTCAGCTATAATACTGTATCATCTTCATTATTTTCAACCTAAGCATTTGTTAGAATGGAAAGAAAAAAAATGTAGACAGAAAGCACGATGTCTCAAGTTTTTCAGATGCTTTCTTGCTGCCGTGGTACCAGATACTTTCAACAACAGAAACACAAAGAAGATTCATATCATGGTACCCTTCCACAACTTAGGAGACAGGAAAAACTCTGCTGAGTAAGTGAAAAAAACACCAGCTGCCTAGCACAATTCAAAGAAACCACAGTATAGGAACAAATAAATATTTGCCTTTCTAAACAAGACCTCCCATATACATACTTGTCACTGTTAGCCAGCTGCTTGAACTCCTTCACTGTCATTGGCTTTTTCTGAATGTTGTACTGTGTGAAGAGCCCCGACTGGCCAGTGACCATCTGCTGAATTGGAGCAGGAATCACCAAATCTTCAATATCATCATAATGTTTTCTTGGCTTCCACTCCTTCGGTGGGATAACCTTTACATTCAGAAAGAAAAAGCAGGACAACAACAGCTGCAATACCAATTCAAAATAATTCTGGAAAAATCAAAAGGACCAGTCAAATATGCCCCACATGATCAAACGAACGCTTGCTTACCAGCGGTTTCACAATAACTAACTGACTATGTAAGTGCTCCCAGATAACACAGAAACCCATTCAAAATGTGTGTCATATTACCTCAATTCACAAGCGGCAACTCACTAATCCACAGCAATTCAGTCATGTGCAATTGTGCAAACGTAACATATAATAACAGAACAGACAAATATTTTATAATCAGAAAGCCCTGTACCGCACATACGCTTCATACTCCAGGATATAAAACTGTGATCCTCAACTAAAAAAAAAATTCACATGATAGTCCCGTGTCCAAATGTTATTTGGTGTAAATAGAACAAATAACTGTTTCTTACTGAAAAATGAAAAAAAATAGTTATTCTAGAGAGCTTTATATTTTCTAGTCTAAATTACTCCCCATAACACTGCAGGGTACAACTCTATCACACTGAGAGTTTGCACTAATTTAGATATACTAGTTTTCATATTAACATGATTTAAACCTCATAATTAAAGCTATGTGCAGATTAGCCAATTGTAAAGTTAATACTTTTATTTCAAATACTACAAAACTGTGAAAAGTCTATGAAAACTCTTCAGCAGATTCTAAAGTGTTAGCAATAAAATCATTAGGAATTTCAAAGCAGCCTGTAGTCATACCAGTACTCTTTAAACAGGCTGCATAATTCTGAAGATTCCTTGCATATATTTATCTGAATACAGAAAATTTGAAATTGAAACAGTTTTAAAACATAGCAAAAGACATTTTTAACATGTATTTTTGGTTTGGTTTTAGACTTTTACTTGCCCAAAAGCTTAATGATATGTTCTTCAATGCACTCATATTCTTTCTTTCCTGTAGTGTTCAAATCAAATTTTCACAAGCATTGGCTAGGAAACTTTTAAAGTAGCATAAAACAAATCAGGATGGCTTTCATAAGCGTGCAACTACCACATATGAATTACATTATTTGAATAATTAATTGACATCTTAGCAGTAGCCTTTACACTAGGCTAGCTAGGCTGCTCTTCTAACAATCATTTCAGTATTCCACACAATATTGTCCATTACAGATTTTGCTATTACATCAGAGAAAATTAAAAATTATAAAAACTAAGACAGAGAGATTCTGAGATCATCTGCTATCTTTGGAAAACAATCACAAATGGGCAAATTGTAATGCTAATGTACTCAAACAGTCCATCCCTCAAAGAAATCTGATTAAGACCATTCATGGTAGCAAGCAGACACCAAAACAAAAACATCAAGCTGAAGTTACCAGATAGTAACAACTTCCATACCTAGTATTTTTATTTTAAACATAAGCAGGCATTTTTATCCCCCCCCTCTTTTTTTTTTTTTTCACACAGATGCAACTCCCTCTTTTCCTTTTTGACTTCTCAGCTTCCATGGGACTTCAGTTGTACAGGGACTACTTAGCAAGTTTCAGTGTTGTTTGCTTTTAGAGAAAATCATCATGTGATTCCTACTTATTTGTTTCACATAAATCTTAAATTATATGCAATCAACAAAATACAAAATGTTGGCTTGGAAGGAGAGAAGTCATGCATTCAGAATATATGCACAGAAATCAAATATGTGCACAGAGATTTCCATTTTCATGATTATTAAGCATGACGTTGTAGGATTGGCTCAAATATATGAATACTGAAAAGCAAAATTTGCATTATGTTATTCAATTCAAGGTCAGTGTGTTTTAAGCAATAAAAATATTTTTGTGAACACAGGTTCAAAATATTCCCATCCAGCTAACTAGAGCATGTTTATTACTGTTGTAATTAGAGTACTGGTTAGAGAATTCTGTGGGGACTAATATGCTAAGCATCATTTTAAAATAAAATAAAAAGAGTCCCTGCCCCAAAGAATTTCCATTTTCTAACAAAGGTCAGGGCAAGGACTGGAGATGTTAAAATATCACGTCCAAAGCGACACACAGATAGTCAGTATCAGAGTTGGAAATAATGACTGGGTCTCTGCGTTACCACCTCTGACTTTTCCACTGAAGCCTCTTCATGTTCCCTTTAGAAAAAATAACCTCTTCAGAGTCAAGCACATTAGCTTTATTCCATGGAAGCAACCTAGATCGAATTCATCAGCCAAGCTCTTCAAAGCTCAAACACAAAAAGTCTTTCCTTGCATTTTTCCTTTCTCATGTACACATCTATATAGATAGATATATCTGAAACATCCTAAGCATAGTAACACTGTCTAATGTTATTTAGCATGATATGTACTCCGTTTTAGATAGGGACATCTTAGTTATAGCACTCAGTCTCCTCCACGCAGGCTGCAAATTAGTACAACTGAGTTTATTTCACAGTGCTATCAATGCATAAATTTCTGTTACATCTGCTTTCATATACAGGTAATCTCCTGCTCTACATTTGATTCTGAATGGCACTGGCTACTAGTTTTCTGAAGCTACTTCTGCCCCAACTCGTCTGAAAACTCTTTTTCTTGTACTTGCCAACATCTATTTTCAGTATCATGTTCCAAAATTACTTTTCTACTTGCCAATGTGACTGCAAATTAATTTAATTACTTCACTCTATATAAATGCAGTTGGGTCTCCAAAACAATTCTTATTCAAGTAAAGAGCAACTAATCTATCAGTGTGCCTTGTTTTTCATTTGTTCTATTTGTTTGATTCCTTGTTTTCTTTTTTAAGTATAGGATCCTCTATAACAGTAAAGACTAAAATACATTATCTACACCTAAAGCTTATTCCAGACTTTCAAAAGCCTAATGGAAATTTTTTAGCCAATTTGCTCCAGGGATGCCACAGTATATTACTGCCTCTGGAAACGGTTTAATGTTGTTTGTCTAGTACCTTAATCATTTGTTTCAGGCATAGTATCAGGAACTTCTTTAAAAAAAAAAAACTTGTTACTCCCTGCACTTCCCCACTCCTCTCCTTCCTATAATATGTGCAAGCCTTATAGTCATTTCGTCCCCATTTACCTACACATATTCTTCCACACAGCTAAGAGGTCTTCTCCCCTTACACTTTCACATTTAACCTAAAGTGTTGGGTACGCCTACTCTGCTTATGACGTCTGTTTAGACGTTAACTGTCTGTTACTGTTTCTGCATATGCATACAGCTCCTCTAGTAGTCCTTATTCTCTTTGCATTCATACTTGAGTCTGTACATCCTAGACTTAACACAGATTAGGTCCTCTGCAAGTTCATTTTACATTACTACCAAAATAGGAAAAAATATTTTATTCTTGTCATTTTAAATCCTATTTCCAAAACTCAGAAAATGTTCCTTAAATTTCTGTAGTATGATTGCAGTATGCTAAGCAGACTTGTTAAGATCTATTTTAAAAATATTTGGTTTATTTTTTAAACATAATTTTTTGAGATATATCAGAAAATAGTGAAAATCAGAATATAAGAAGTCCCAAGACAACTGAGTAATATGTAGCAACTGAGAGGCTGAAACCAGCTAGAGATGCTTTAATCGCTATTCTGGTATGAACCAAAAGGGGAAGCAGACCTACACGGTATGGTTAGAAGAGCCCTTCCTCAGTCACAGCACAACTGGAATACGACTAATGTAATTAAAGATTTTTAAAAGGTTTTATTATTCTTTAGAATCACAGAATTGTAGAATAGTTTGGGCTGGAAGGGACCTTATAGATCACCTAGGTCCAACCCCACTGCCATGGGCAGGGACACCTTCCACTAGACCAGGTTGCTCAGAGCCCCATCCAACCTGGCCTTCAACACTTCCAGGGAAGGAGCAGCCACAACTTCTCTGGGCAACCGGTGCCGGTACCTCACCACCCTTCCACTAAAGAATTTCATTCTTGTATCTACTAGAAATCTCCCCTCTTCCAGCTTGAAGCCATTACCCCTTGTCCTGTCACTACATGCCCTTGTGAAAAGTCGCTCTCCAACTTTCCTGGAGGCCCCTTCAGGTACTGGAAGGCTGTGGTAAGGTCTCCCCGCAGTTTTCTCTCCTCCAGGGTGAACAGCCCCAACTCCAGCCCTCGGATCATTTTTGTGGTCCTCCTCTGGACCCACTCCAACAGCTCCATGTCTCTTCTGTGCTGAGGGCTCCAGAGCTGGATGCAGGACTCCAGGTGGGGTCTCACCAGAGCGGAGCAAAGGGGCAGAATCCCCTCCCTGCTGGCCACGCTGCTTTTGATGCAGCCCAGGCTAGAGTTGCCTTTCTGGGCTGTGAGCACAGACTTCTGGGTCGTGTTGAGCTTCTCATCCTCCAGTACACCAAAGTGCTTCTTGGCAGGGCTGCTCTCAATCCCTTCTCTGCCCAGCCTGTATTTGCGCTTGGCATTGCCCTGACCCATGTGCAGGACCTTGCACATGGCCTTGTTGAACTTCATGAGGTTCACACGGACACACCTCTCAAGCCTGTCAAGGTCCCTCTGGAAAGCTCCCCTTCCCTCCAGCATGTTGACTGCACTGCACAGCTTGGTGTTGTCAGCAAACTTGCTGAGGGTGGACTCAATTCCACTGTCCATGTCACTGACAAAGATGTTCAATAGTGCCAGTCCCAGGACTGACTCCTGAGGAACGCCACTTGTCACTGGTCTCCACTTGGACATTGAGCTGTTGACTGCGACTTTCTGAGCGTGATGATCCAGCCAATTCCTTATCCACTGAGTGATGCATCCATCAAATCCATGTCCCTCCAATTTAGAGACAAGGATGTTGTGTTGGACAGTGTCAAACGCTTTGCTCAAGTCCAGGTAGATGACATCAGTCACTCTTCCCTTATGCACCAACACAGTAACCCTGTCGCAAAAGGCCACCAGATTTGTCACGCATTATTTGATCTCAGTGAAGCCTCTGGTTTTGAATACTATCAAATGAAAAGATTACTTGCAGTCTAGGACAGACACAGCCATGATGAACAGCATATGACAAATAGTTGTCTTTTTAAACAAAACCAGTTCATTTTTTGGTTTTTTTTCCAAACATATTACACACTAATCCTGGCTCATATAATACCTTCCTCACATAGCCACAGAAAGCAAGGACCACAATTTCTGCTTACCTGTCTTTGTTTTATACACAACATACCAAAGAAAGCAAGCACATTATATATGAATAAACAATCTGAAATAGAAGAAAATCAGTATCATCTCAGTGGCTGGTCATAAGGCACTTTCTGTTTCTTTGCCTAGATCCCCATGAAATAGGATTGGAAACTACCAACAGTTGAAATAAAACTATTTCTATAAACAATGTGAAAATACGAAAATTTTTTCATGTTGAGTCCATGTATGTAATCCACAGAATGATACATAGCTAGAATCTCCTGCTCACATACATGTTAACGGCATAAATCTGTTGAGCAACAGATGTTACTGTGATGAATTTGCTCTTAAGTTTACTGTTCAAGATGTAAGGACTGCAATAGTTCATCCCCACACAAATAAGCAGATTCCATAATACAGTTGAATACGTGAAAAATTCAGCTCAGGCTTTCCTCTGCTGTCTATCACATTTCTAGTCCTGTTTGCAGACAAGAGTTTGGAAACATGACCTATACGTACTCTGCCCTCAGAAATCAGCAAGCAAATAAACTACAAGGTTTTCTAGTGTGAGGGGTTCAGTTTTGCTTTGTCTTACAGGAAGCAAGGAAGAGAGAGCTGGCAGGGGCAAACCAAGAATGGCAGGTTTTGTTTCTCTTCTCTCAATTTTTAAATGCCTTGACATTGCAACATTAGCTTAAAAACCCAGTGATGAAGACGGCTATTCCCATTGATTACTTACAATAACTAAGCTAGGATTTCTAGACCTGCCCTGTTTGTTTTTCAAACTTCTAGTTTGAAAAGTGGCAAAACAGATATGGCACAAATACTTACACGATGTAACACCAGATTACATCAGATAATCTCTGACAATCACTCTCCATTAGGGGAGAAACACCTGCTGTAAGATCCTGGATATACCATTGTACAGATGCCAAAGCTATTGTAGCTAGTGTACCTCCAATTCTTACTAACAAAAAGGTAACACGATCACCATTAAAAAGAAAACAATTTCCATGCAGACAGACTCTCACTATCTCCATGCATACACCCATTGACTGTAGTGAGATTATTTGCTCCAGTAAAGTTATACAAAACCCTAAAAGACTGAGTTAAGCATCTGGTAGGTCAGGACTTTCCAATTTATACTATGAACTCCCTGTTTTGTTCCAGTTTGCCACAGTTTAAATCTGCCTTAAAAGGAGATCCTATTTTGCTATTCTAAACACAGAAACAATTGACGGTTAAAGAGAAACAGTATATATCATCTTAATTAGTTTGCATGAAGTATCACACATACTAAAAAGCTCTTTCTCGAAACAGTAACAGACCGGTATCTATTCACTGAAAACTATTTGGAAAAAATTTTAAATACTAAAAAAGCCAGTTTTGCAATCAGCAAAATACATACACTGGGAAAACAGGTATTAGGAACAATTTTCTTTCTGTATTATAGATGTTTACCTTTGCAACTCCAGCCCTATGAGCACCTTGTGATTCCATGTACGCTAAGTATTTGTTGAAATCCCTGAATTCATCCATCGAAGGCCTAAATGTCATGATTTTGCAGCTTGGGTTTGGAGGACTATCTGAGATGAGAGCAGACATCGTGGTTCACCTTCAATCCAGCTTTAAAAAAAAAAAAAAGAAAGAAAAAGAAGAAATTAAAATAACATACACTGAAGAGAATAATCTGTAAAATTAATTCTGAGATTCAACATACATGTCTCAAACAGGAAAAGAAGTTCCGAAATCCTCTGCCCATGCTAGTATAGAAGGCATGAAACAAATGCTTGATTTTTTCTCCTTTCTCCCTTAAGGATACTCGACCTTTACCCAGCATGAACACCATCATGAGTGACGTTTATACAGTCCAGTCCATACCTCTGGTTTTTACAGCACATTTTCTCAAGTTAGCCTTTAACATCATACTAGCATCTTCCTGTGTTCATCCATCCGCAGGCTGCTGCATTTCTCTGTCTAGATATTTACACTACACAGGCATAATCTAGAGTAACAAAGCCACACATCTGCTAAAATACCACTATTCACATTTAGTATACAAAGAAAACTGATTACTCCCTTCCCACTCACACTGCAAACAGAGGAGCACCTGGACTTCCTCTCACGTCAGCAGTTTCACACAGAACTACATTACCCCTCATCCTCTGAAACCTCTTCAACAGAAACAAAGCATGCAAGTGATACACATAAAAACAATCAGCGTCTCCTCTTCTTTCCATTTCTATATTGAGGATGGCTAAAATCAGTCATATTTCTGCTTCATACCAAGATACAGTACTCATGAAAGGACTGATTTTTAGGCAACTGACAGATACGTTTTAGCTTCAGCAGGTGCTGCAGTTTCCAAATATATATCACCATGCGCCATCTATTGCTCACAAAATTCTTCCTTAATCTTACAGAAAAGATCATCCCAGAATACATGTAACTCAACAGTGACTAGCTTTTTAGTGATTCTGTTCTCCTGAGCATATAATTTAACTAATTCTTCATTTTCTCCATCTGCAAAATGCATGCAACCATGTTTTTTATGCCATACACTGTCATCATAAATTTTGCTTCTATGTCAGTGTATTGGCCACTAATTTCATAAGCTTCATGTACTTTCTAGCTTGGTATGAATCACTGCACAAGAAAGCTGATGCAGAAGGTGCCTTTATGCCTCCCCATGTCTCACTCTCCTGCTGGTATCGAACATTTAGCCTGTTTTATGTGTCCTTATTTTTCCTCTCATTTTGTCTACCCACTTCACCCAGCATACCACTCTCCATTCTTAGCACTTAATGAGCTTTCTTTTTCCACACTCCCACCTTCAGTAACATCCTGTTTCCCTCCCTACATTACTTCCCATCCCTGTTTGAACAGAAATTAACTAGATTGCTGCAACTCTCCCATTCTGAAAACCAGCACCACATTAATTTGGGGGTATTTTTACATTTAAATTTCCAAGTCCATACAAACAAAAACAACTCAATACGTACAAGTGGGATAACCTCCCTCAGAAGTAAACAGCTGGCTTATATGCAATACACCCTTCATTTATTCCCACCCATTAAAGTTTCACATATAATCTTGCTACTATGACTAGTCCCAGGAAAATGAAACCTGGATTTATGACCAAAGGTGAAGCTATGCTTTCCTTCAGTGCAACGTGCAAGAGACAGTGTTTACTATTTATAATGTTTCATTGACAATAAAGTGACAGTGGAAATATAATCAAACATGTTATTTGATTTCTCTGTACTAAATCAGCTTTTAGGCTTTCGCCTTTAGATGTATTAAATAAGTATATACATCGGTGAAATATACATACACGCGCACACCCCCCTCCTCTAAAAAACAAACTCTTTACTATTTCTTCCCTGGAAAAAAAATTAATAGTCCTTAACTATTCATCATTTTACACCTTTCAATCCATTTCATTGCTGTACAAGATACCCAGCAGTCAGTAATTATTTCATCATAGCATACAGATTAACACCCTTCCCTCAACTCTGCCAGTACTCTCCAACATTGTGCAGTTTTGAGGGTGCTTTGCAGGGGAGGAGAAGCAGACGGAGAGAGGAGCTGATTCATTCTTTGCTTGGTTTGTCTGGGGTTTTTTTAAAGCAAATGACTCCAGCATCCACTTATGAATTTTTTTTACCCCACTAATATTCCTTCCTTTAGCGGACAGAGAGGAACTTACCAGAAGTGTGTTTTATCCACTTTCCTGCGCAGTACCAAGCGCAGTGTTCCCAAACCAAGTCAAGCATTCTTAAAGCACTAACTTTTCACAGAATCACAGAATAGTAGGGGTTGGAAGGGACCTCTGTGGGTCATCTAGTCCAACCCTCCTGCCAA